AATTTTATTTTTTTTAACCAATTAACTTGCGACAGGTGTCACTTTAAAAAAATCGTTCAACTGATCATCGGTCTTTGTGATTGAAGAAAGATAACGACCCTCAAAGTCGGAATTATTGCAAAATAATCCAAAGTTTAAATTATTAAAAGAAAAGGGAATTTTCCAACGATAGCCCCCTACTTTTTTAGTTTCTCAATGTTAACTTTCAATTTTTAAAATTATCAAATATAACCCCCAATTACTAATTAGCCATTAAATGTGACATTAGTAGGTAAAAAAAGGGTTTAAATTACAATAATTTCCGTTAAGTTGAGGATGAATGAGTTAATTTGCCAACCATGGTTAAAAACAATTAGGGAGAAGCATTAGTGCTGCCAACCAAATTCCTTTTACACCATTTTTGGAAATTCTTGATTATACTTTCTCTGTCTCACAACTCTAGACTCAACATCTCATCAAAGTTGCAGATATTCTACATACTCTTCGTCAAAAACAAGCAAATTCTTCATTCTAGCTTTTGTGGAAAACGATCGAAAACGAGGGATGCAATACATTCGAAGGGTTTTGTGGGTCTTGATGTTTTAATCGAACGATTTATGACTTTTTACCTTTGTATTTTTTAGGGATTCATATTACAAGTAAGTTGATTATACTTTCTCTGTCTCACAACTCTAGACTCAACATCTCATCAAAGCTGTAGATATTCTACATTCTCTTCGTAAAAAACAAGCAAATTCTTCATTCTAACTTTTGTGGAAAACGATCGAAAACGAGGGATGCAATACATTCGAAGGGTTTTCAAGGTCTTGGTGTTTTAATCGAACGATTTATGACTTTTTACCTTCATATTTTTTAGGGATTCATATTACAAGTAAGTGCATGCTCTCAATTATGGGTAAACAAACTTTGTCAACATTTTGGCAGAATTGTATGTTGGGTTTGTATGTGTCAATTTTGCTAAAAAATTTCATATTATGATGATTCATTTTTCTATTACAATGGATTGCAGAAAATTTGAGAGAATCGGGTTGACACTTTGCTTAAATATATAGAAATTGGTGTTGGATTAATATGATAATAGAAATTGGTGGAATTGTGAGAGAAACCTTGTAAGTCGTAGCAATATAAAAGATATAGGGAAGAAGGCATGCAAGGTATACGTAGCCGTCACCTATCAATAGGGATGACAATTGGGCGGTGCGGGTGCGGGTACCCCCTCCCGTATACCCGCACCCGCCAAAATATTTTATACCCACCACCTACCCGCCACTCGCGGCGGGTAAAATTTCAATATCCACACCCGCCTAAGAGAGTAGAAACCTAAACCCACACCTGCCTTTTACCCGACAACTCAACATTTTTTTAAAATAAATTTCCTATATAACTTGTCATTATACTCTTTAAGTTGTTGTGAATATATAATATAATAGCATAATACAATGTAGTAGGCAATATGTGGGCATTTAGTCGGGTATGTGGATAAGTAGACGGGTAATGGGTGGGTCATGCGGATAATAGGTTGGTATAGCTCAAAATCCACGTCCTACCCACTACCCACAGGAGTAAACACAAAATACGGTCCCTAAACTTTGCCAAAAGTTTGATTTTGGTCCCTATACTTTCAAAAGTCTGATTTTGGTCCCTCAACCACCAATGACTCATCAATTGTGGTGGTTATTGTAACGAGTCAACAAAGTTTAGGGACTTTGCCATATTTAATTGCTGACTGGACCAAAGTTTAAGGACTTCTAATACTGACTGGACCAAATTTAGGGACTTTGCCTTTTTTTAATTCAATTGCTACGAACTATGTTAATTAACCATATTTTTAACTTTAATTAATCTAATTATTTTACTCATTCCAATCTTGAATTTATTTAATTTCCCACGTTAATTTTAATAACTTTATGTTCTCTCTCCTCAACTTCTTACCTTCCCCATTTATTAAGCTCCACCACCCTACATATACATACTACTTCCACTACCAATCTAGCACCACCCTCTCCCACCGAAAATAACAAGGTGGTGGTCGTCGTGAACTTGACATGGGTTATCCTTCAATTTTTTTTCCTTGATTCAAAACTTGTTTGTTTTCAATTTGATTTTTTATTTTATTTTTTTTGTTTAATTTGACTGACATTTTAGATTTGTTGGTAATTGGTTTTTTTTTTTTTTATTTATTAATTTTAAGACAGATGTGGTGTTATAATGGTGACGCCCAGTGGTTGTTTATGTATTGACAATGGGCTAGTGGTTGTGGTGGTGGTGGTGACTATTGTGGTTAAGTTTAGGTAACTGGTAAGGATAAATTATTGAGTGAGTTTGGCAATTAGAAAGGTTAATTTTATGGGATTAATACTTGGAATGTATGGAAGTCCCTCAACTTTAGTCCAGTCAGCAAGAATAAAATAAAATAAAAAATGCAAAGTCCCTAAACTTTGGCCATGTCAGCAATTAAATAGGCATGAGTCCCTAAACTTTGCTGAGTCATTGAAATAGCCACCACAAATTATGACTTATTGGTGGTTGAGGGACCAAAATCAGGCTTTTGAAAGTTGAGGGACCAAAATCAAACTTGGATCGTATTTGGTGTCTGGCGGACCTACCCTTGGTCCAGGTAGGTCACGTGACCTAGCAAAAAAAAAAAAAAAAAAAAAAATTAAAAAAACAAAAAAGACTGACAGTTAGTACTGGAAGGGGAAAAGAAAAACAGAGACCAAATTCAAAATCACGCACTCTCATCCTCTCAAATCTCAATCTCTCTCTTCGCTCTTCGCCGCCGCACCGCCACTCGCCGGAGTCGCCGCCGCACCGCCTCGCCGGCTGCTCCATCCGCATACACACACACTCGGCGCTCTTCGACTCTTCTTGCTGCCAGGTAAGTTTGTTTTTAAGTTTTTAAATTTGTAAATTATACCCAAATTGTTGAATTGTTGGGTTGAGTACTTGAATTTGTGATTAATTGAGTTGATTATGTAATTTAATCTAGTTAATTAGTGTGTGTTCTATTGTTTTTTGAAATTGTTGATAATTTATCAATTTAGGGAGTTAGGGTTTCTGATTTTTTAGGAATTGAATTGCTGGTTTTTTTTTTTTTTTTTAGGAATTGAAATTGTTTCCTGTAAATTGATAATTTGATATTATAAATTGTTTCCTGTAAATTGATATTATAAATTGACAGTAAAATTGAGTAATTGATGATTTCATATTAGAACTTAGGGTTTTTTTTTTTTTTTTTTTTGGAATTGATTAGTTTGGATAATTGCAAAGGTGGATTGTAAATTGAAGCATTTGTGGTTTTCTTAATCTAATAGTTAATGTAACTTAATTTTCAGAATTAAAAGGAAAAAAATGTGTGATATCACAAGTTTCTTTGGTCCGAAAAATCCCCCTCCTCCACAAAATCCTCCTCCTCCACAAAATCCTTCTCCTCGTAGAGAGCGAGATATGTTTTTGAATGTTGACATGAATGATATTATAGATCAATATCAAAACATGAAAACCCGTAGAGAGCAATTGTAATTTCCTTTATTTGGTTGTAATATGGATATTTATTACTTTTGGAATGTATTTTTTTTTTAAATATTAGCTTTTTTTTTTAATATTCTTGCATTAATTATTGATTAGTAGTCGGTGGTGACCTAGCACCCGAAAAATCCTGGATCCGCCCACAGTGTGTATGACTTTTGTATCCATACCCGCCTAGCTTGTACCCATACTGCCCCAACTGGGGTGGGTGCAATGCAGAATTCACATTTTTATACCCACATGCCATCCCTACCTATCAAGGAGGAAGATCATGGTCAGTTATCATAATGTTGCACCAATGCATGATAATTTCTTGTTAGTTTGTCAATTATCATGGAAGAAATTAGCTTAATTATAATAGTTAACCATGATTAGGATAATTATCATAATCAAACATGCATTTAACCTTTTTTTACCTACCTAATGTCACGTTTAAAGACTAACTAATGTGTACCACAGCCGATGCACCGAGTTTTACTTTGAATCTGAACAAATATTATTTGACCTATAAAATATAAACTATATAATTAAAATAAAAAGAACAATAATAATTATGAAACCAAAGAAGTGCTCTCAAATTAAGTATTTAGTATGTTTTAATAGTATATAAAACATAATTAAACAATAGAAAAGATGGTTAGAACATCAATTTATTTTTTATTGGTCTTGTTTTCAAATCTTATAATAAGCATTTTTATTGCCATTAAAACATGTTTGTAGTTTAAAACATGTTTACAGTATAGTGGATGATGTGGCATATATCCAATACATGTGAAGGGTGCCATGTGGCACATATTTCGTTTTAGGAACACTTTTAATTTATAATAATAATAATAATAATAATAATAATAATAATAAGTACAAATTAGTAATTGGGGTTTATATTTGATAATTTAAAAAATTAGAAGTTACCATTGAAAAACTAAAAAAATAGGGTTTTCTAAGCTATGCCCCCGTAATTGTTGAGTTTCTAAGGTATGTCCATGCTTTTTCAAAATTACAAAATGCACCCTTCCAACTTAAGGTATTTATTTAATCGTACTCTCTAACCCAACATGAGTATTTGTGTTAATTATTAATTACTCCACTATGGAGAGAATTTTCATGCCTAAATTGGGTTAGATTTTATATAAGAGGATTAATGTTAAACATTTTTTCCACATTTTCTCATCTTTTCTTTTTTCTTCTAAAAGCAATTATTAATATTCTCTTGGTGTAATTCTTCTTTTTTCTCATCCACTTTTTAATACTTTATATGTTATTGAAATTACTAACGTCGAGTTAACGTAAAAGAGTACGGTTGATTAAATAATTTAAATTGAAAGACCCAACTTTACTTATAATTTTGAAAAAGCAGGCCACTTAAAAACTCAAGAAAAATAGAACCCGGCAAATCAAAAGAAACACAAAAAACATTCAAAAGATGAAAAGAGACGGAGACGAGAAGAAGATGAAGAAGAAAGTGGACGAAAAAACCATCAGAATTCGAGTTCTGCAAAATATGCAGAATCAACCACAATCAAGGTCGTCGCCACAATTCCTTCCCACGCCACACCAATTCACTCTCCTCACTCTTCACTCGCTTCCATCAGAAGCTCTCCTTCGTCAAATCTTCACTCAGAAACCCTAGCTTCGTTCTCTCTTCTTCGGATTCTCCTGATCGTCTTTGGTGCATCTTTTGTGATTCCGACATTGTTGAATCTGATTCTGCATTTGTTTGGTAAATTTTAATTTTTTTCGGATTTTTTTTTGAATTTTTGGCTGGAATTATGATTGGAGTAACTGTTAAATGTTGCATTTTTACATATATTTCACAAAATTTGGTTATGTTTTCATGTAATTAGTGGTAATGTAATTGAGCATTTGGCGAGTGATGATCATCTGAAGAATTTGAAGCATTTTCTATGGAAGTATGGTGGTGGTATGAACAAAGTGGATTCTTTCAGAATTACGGTTGAGTTAGCTGAGGTAGTTAACTAATTTAGCTTCATTATTTAAATGGCAATTTGTTATTATACTTAATTGTATGTATACTTGTATTTATTTGATGCAATTTTTAGTTTTTGATTGAATGATTTGGTGATCTTTTGTATGCCTATTTACTTTGAACTTTATGATGTGTTCAGATTGTTTAGTTTGCAAAAGCGATCGAAAACAAAGGGAAATAACCTATTGTTTAGAGTTTATGTTTAAGGATACATCTATATTTATTTAAGAGATAATAAATGTCCTATCTATCAAGAGTAATGAGTATGTAGTTATAAGTCACATCAAATTGAGATGAAGGGTCTATCTATCAAGACTCAAGAGTATGTAGTTATGTATCACAACTAAGTATTTGAAATTCTATTGTCCAATCCCGAAGATGATTTTGATGAAATTCTTATTTGTGGGAGGATGAGAAATGGTGTTTCTACCATGAAAAAAGTGTTTGGTTTAATTGGCTTGTGTTTCCATGAGTGGTTATGCATCAAAAGGCTTCATAAAAAAAAAGGTCTATTGTTGACTTGGTAGCTTAGTTATATAGCTTTTGCTCCGTTGTATTTTTCTTGCTAACATCATCCTCACCCCATCGATCATTCTATGTTGCAAAAAATTACCGATGGTGGCAACTACCTCATAATAATGTAATTCCTCCGTTCTTTTTTACTTGATCCGCTTTGAATTTTACACTATTTACCACTCCTCCTTTGACCGGTTTTGTGAATAATATTTAAAGAAAAAGATATTCATGTAAGATATTTTTAAATTCGTCTCAACAAGTACTATCATAATATATTAATTTTATAATTTTTACTTATCGAGAATTAAAGTTATTGATCGTTAAAGTTTTACATCGGCAAGCGTGATAAAAGAAACAGGTCAAGTAAAAAAGAACAGGGAAGTATGTTGTTACAGAGCATTCTGCAGTTTATACCTTATTATCGTCCATCTTAGAAAGAAAACTAGTTTTTGGCCTGGTCCTGGCTCATTATTACGTGAAATAAGCACTTTCGCTAAGTATGTAAATTCTGAATGAGTTGGAGATATGATGGTTATATACTATAGCAACAACAAAGTCAAGTTATCAAATGAATCAAAGAGAGATATATAAGTAGTCCCTCTCCCACCTGAGATGTAGAGACTCATGGTTGGGTCACTTGGGTGTGGCATATGGCAATGTGGCAATGGAAACTATGTCTTTTTTTCTAGAAAGGGAAGGAGGAGGCATTGGCTTGTCACACTTGAAATATAGGACTGATCATATCATATATTAGTAAATTACCATAAGCCGGAGCTGCCTTTTTTACCTCTTTTAGAGTAAGTAAGAAAATAGACAAATTGATGTTGCTTGGCCTGCTCCTATTTCTAAGGGCCTCCGTTAATCTCAACTACCAAACACCAGATAAAGATGTCTTTATCTATTTTTTTATTTTTATGAATTCCATGAATTGTTGTGCTTAGAGTGTAATTTATGTTATATGTTCTTGACTTCTAGTTTCTAGCCTTCAGCTACTTGCACATTTTTATGCCATTATTTCATTGTTATGCAGTGGAAGAAGAGGTGTGCAGTACTGAAGAAGGATGTTCCACCATCGAGATCTTCACTTGGGCAGTCGTATGATATCCAAACAAATTATGAATTCATGAATAATTCTAACATAAATAATATTCACTTTCTTGAATCACGTCTCTTAAAAGATGTTATACCTTTACAATATGGCACAAATGAGAATTACCAGGTATATCATTCAGATATCTCACAAGCTGGTGAAGTTAGTTCATCTGCGTACGATGTTGCTCCACATACAACTTGGACCCCAGAGCATCATATGGAAACTCAGAGTTTAACATGTATGAGTATGCTTACTTTCAATAGATTATACATAGTTCTTCTTATCCTTTCTCCTTTCTTTTTTCTTTAATGAATATTATGTTGTTAATGGATATTTGTTTTTTTGGTCTGTGCTTTCATGGCAGGTCAAAGTAGGCAACAACCCCTTGCATCTAGCGTGGAAAATGTCTTTGCTGATGGTCTTGTAAAAACAGGGGTAAGTTTGTTGTTAATGGCTTTATGTCTTATCTTATTGACCATTAATTGTTTAGTTTCTTTGTCAATAAACTGGCTTAGATTTTCCCTAAAATGGTGGTTTGGTGATTTGATATGTCAATATGTGCTTAAAATTTACGTTTTCACCTTTACCCCAAAAAAGGAAGAGAAATGAATTCAAACATGAATGGAGGGATAAGAATGAAAAAATTTGACAAGAAATGCAGAATTTGAATGTCATGTTGTCACCTTGATATTACCCCCTTTGTCTTGGATTTATCACACTGATTTGACGAGCGCATGTTTTTATGCACTACAATGAACTTTCTTTATTTTATAAATTATTGTTTATTTATTATAATTTATTTATTTTATATTTTAGTTTGTAGTAAGGTATATGCTATTGTTATTGAAAGTGGGCTATTATTTTTGATTGGTGTCAGTGAGAATCTTTCTGTGTGAATTTTGTTAAGGGAATAGCAAATAAATGGATCTAAGTGAAAATTGTGGATCAATTCTTTTATAGAACTATCACAAGTAGCCTATGACAATTTTATCTTTAAATTGGTGTTACTAATCTAGGAAGGGGGATTGATATTACACTTTTTTGAAATTAGGCTGTATAATTTTTTTTTTGTGTGTATCTATTTCCATTTTTTATTTTGCTAGACTGCCAGAATCATTAGGGTTGCACAATAGCCTGGACAAAGGAATGGATATGGGTACAAATTTGCATGTCCAACACAAAAAAATTATAAAATCTTAGGATACATCCAAGATTAGGAAACATATATAGGGACATGAAACATATTAAATATTTCGGATTTTTTTACCAAATGCCCTTAAGTTTTTTTTTTATTTTTTTATTTTTATTTTTTTTATTCACTAAATACCCATTAAAATTTTCAAATTCACCATATACCCCTGAATTTAACAAAAATGTCACTAAATGCCTAAATGACTAACGGACGTTAACTCCGTTAGTCATTTAACCTAAAATTGCCACGTGGCAACATTTTATTAGCTGTTTTTTATTATTATTTTTAGCCACCACCATATCCCCGCCGGCGTAGGGTCCAGAGAGACGTGTGTCGGCGTCGCCCCAAACCGACACCCCTCCTAGCCGTCCCTCGCCATCTCCACCATACTAGCTGTCCGTCAAAAACCTCTCCGCTCCCTACCGCTGGCTTCCAAACTCTCATCCATGCACTGGAAAACCCAAACCGCCCCTCCCCCTTCCATCTCCACCCCAAGAACCACCACGCCAAAACCCCAAAATTAAAAAACGTCCAAAATCAAAACCCTAGATCTTGATTTTAGGGTTTTGATTTTGGGGTTTAAGGCTTTTAGGGTGGTGGTTTCGGCTAAGGTGGGTGGCGGCTACGTGGAGGAGGGTACCTGACGGCGAAGGGTTTTGGCCGGAGTAGTTCACTGATATTCGGCTAAGGTGGAAAGACGGTGAGGGGTGTTTGATGTTCAACTAAGGTGGAAAGACGGTGAGGTCTAAAGGGTGAGCACCGTGGTTGGCGTAGTGGGGGATGGAGCAGGGGTTGGCTGGGAAGGCCTAATGTTGGTCGGTGCCAGCGAGGCTGGTAGTTAAAAAGGGGAAGGTGGCTGGTTGGTGGGTTAGGGGTGTTGGGTTTTATTTATTTATTTTTTTTTGGAAATTTTCAAAAAAAATTTTAATTTTTTTATTAATGAAATAATTAAAATAAATAACCAATCAGGTTCTGCACATGGCATAATTAGTTAATTACCCCTAATGACTAACGAAATTATCCATCAATCAATCATTAAGGGCATTTAATGACATTTTTTGTAAAACTCGTGGGTAAATGGTGAATTTCAAAAATTTCATTGGTATTTAATGAGTAAAAAATTAACTCGTGAAACCTCCGTAGATATTTTCTTCTATTATGTTTATGGAAAGATAAACATTTCTAGTATTTCATATGGACCTGTCTTCATTTAATTTTTATTTAAAATGGAAAATAGAGCAAGATAAGGAGCTTGACCGAAAATGCATAAGTTTTCTTGTAAATAATATTTCCTGTGTGATTTTTTAATTGGAATTTCACATTTCTCAATTGTACATTGATAATATTAATATCTTAATTATAATTTAGTAATTAAAAAATGTTTATAGTTTGAAGGTTTATTTAGAGACAAATCTAACAAGATTGCACATGACTATATTTTTTCCAACATATATAAATCACTAAAGACAATCAAAGAGGTGTGGGTGAATAGTATAAATTTTTAGCAGCAGTAGGAGTAGGAGTAGTAGTAGCAGCGGTAGCGGAGTAGTAGTAATAGTAGTTACATTACCCTAGTTAAAAGGAGAGGAAAGGTTGAGTGGGTTAAAAAGTAAAAAATAAAAGTAAAAAGTACGCATAAAGATTCCTAACCACAAAATTACCTCATTCTTATCAACCCTCAACCTTTAGCTTTTTTCTTCTTTCTCTCTTTATTTCTCTAGCTGGGTACAGTTTGCGACACGTCGACAACAATGGAGTCTGCCTCTAAACTCCGAACTCACGGATTTAGGCTTTTTTTTTTTGGGCGATTCAGTTGTGTATCGGCTTTATCAACCAAATATGCGGAGTTTTTTAAAACTTCGCTACAAAACGGTAAATCTCGTAACGGCAAGCTTCAAATCATGTTATATCTCGGCCGCATCGCGATGTCACGGTCGAGTTTTTATTCTATGCCATGGACCCCACCCACCCACTTGAGGGAGTTTAATTAAATAAAGCTCACTACTCTCTCTCATGTGCTTTACTTTCTTTCTCCTCTTTGAGTTCAACAAAGAACTCTCTCGAATTCAATGGAGGTTTCTCCATTTTTTTTTTCATTTCTTTCCTTTAGAAAGCAAGTGCTTTACTGGAAATTTAAATTTGAGATAATATCGGTTTACGCGGGCGAATTTTATTTCGTATTGGTTGAATCGGCTTGAATCGCGGCGTTTTAAAAAACACTGTATCAAATCACAAAACTTATATTGGTGGCTTTGAAATCCGTTAAATACCGGCAGAATCGCGACATACTGGCTGCATTTTTATACCATATTATTAGGTACTTGAATTTCTTTTTGTATCATGTCTAAATCTCTTTTGAAGATCCTTTGGAAATTGTTTCCTTATTTTGAACCTCTTTTCCTTTTCCAAGTACTCTTATCTTTAGAACCTATTGAACTTCCACCCTTTTGTGGTTTAGACTCGCAAATAATTTTGTCCTTTCGGGACATTAAGTTTTAATAGAGCATTTACAAATGGAATATGTGACTTAAGTCACTTTTTTTCGGTCAGTAACCGAGTGTGTCAATTGATTTGTTTAACTTTGTAAATGAATTAATTTTTGAACTTACTTTTCACATTGTTAGTTCATCTAATTTCCTTTTTTCTCACCCTTAAATTAGGAAAGTTAATTCATTTAAATGACAATCTGCAAATCAAGTCGTATCCTTGTGGTAGGCTAAGATATTTAATTATTGATGGGGGTTCAAATCTAACATATATTCTCAACCTCCTATAAGGACCCAGTGTGGGCATGGATTTCTTAAGCAATGATGTGTATTAATTCTTAGACGTTTAATTAATGACTTTGCCTTAATGTTCCATGTATGAACATGTGCTACAGGATGTTCAACATTGATTCCAATGGACATGTAATAATCATTGAGACAAGTAAATCAGGTTTCGACTTAATAACAAGGACACATGTGACCATCTAGTCGAAGCATCGATTATAACCATAAAATTCCTAAATGATTATTTCCTTGCTACAATGGTTCTTGATAAAAGCTCATCAACGGTAACATATATTGGTTTAACTTTTCTCTTTCGCAACTTTGTCATCTCTAAGTTTCCACTTCTGATGGGAATGTGAATTTGTGAAATGAACTTCACGACCTCTTCCATATCTCTCAAATCCACGTCTACGGCTCATCCACACCATTGGCCACAACCACGACTGTGATCTCGACATCAACCACCACTATTGGAATGGTCTTTGATTTTAGATTCTTCCTCATCATGGGATGTCGTATTCACTTCAGGGGAGCTAGTAGGACGTGATTCACGAATTATAAAGTCATGTGACTGAGTTATATTCGCTAATTAATTTAAAACCTTACAATCTCAAAGTCACTTTAGGGGAGTATCACAGTTTAGACTATTCGGAAGAACTCGTGGGTCTTTCACGGTTAAAGATTCATTTTTAAGCCCTTCATGGAGGTTATGGCAAAGAATTTTCAAGGCTTTAGCTTTATATAGAGGTTTTAATTCATTATTCTCCTTAATTGTTTCATCAAACCCTTCAGCATCTAAGGGTTGTACAATTTACGAATTGCTAACTCAAATGATAAAATGGATTAAATAAAGGAAAAACAAATATAAGTTACAACCCAAGATAACAAAATTTCAATTATGTGAAATATATATCTATCAAATACAATATTCTAATCTTAATTAATTATTATTATTATTTTTTTTAATTTTATTCTTCTTTTTTCTTAATAACTCAATGTAATAAACTCTACATATATAACTTTTATTTTACCGGAGATATAGAGGATGAGAATTATTCTCATTATCCACCTTTCACTAATTTAATTAAATTTTAGCAATCTAATAATAGTTATTTCAAAATTACCATTTGTGGCTTATCTTTCAACACACCCCTTCAAACTTTAAATTTCATTCCTATTAATTCATAACTTTTTGAAGGTTTCATAAGATAGTGGTTTCGTAAAAATATTTGTGACTTGCTCCTCGAGCACAATTGTTTCTTCTCAACTTGATACCTTGAGCACAATTCTCCCATGTTATATTGGATTCTTCAAAAGTTTTATAGTTGACACATTGTCAACGGATCCTTCTTAAATGTGACCAAGCTTTTTAAGAGATTTCTCAATTTTAATGCTACACAAACTGCATAAGCTTTACAACTTGATACTGCCACAACTGGTTGTTTGTTAAAACTCCAAGTAAAGGGGAGGTA